CCCTTGCTGCAATTACAAAAAAAAAAAAAAAAAAAAAAATCAGTTGAGACAACTGTAGGAAGTTTCACAAAGACTAGAAGGGGGATATATGAAAGGTGAAGAACCTCACATGTAGTGTAGGCGGTGGTTTAATAAGATAGCACTGCGGTACATTGAAATCTGGATCACCCTTAGCAGGCTCATCAGACCATGGGGAGCCAAATGTCTTATGAAGATTCTCTGCTGAATTCAAATTTAAACCTAACGTGGTCAAATCAATCCCCAGTGCGAGGGATGCTAGATCAGGATCACTCAGCCTTATTACACTTAACAAACCAAGTAAACCAAATGGATCGGGAGAAGATTGAGCTGTCTGCATAGATTTAAGGCCCTGATCCCTAAATGACTGATTAACACCAGACATACTTTTGAATCGGAATTGAGATTGACCGTGGTGCTGTTGATATTGCTGGATAAGTTGGTCATAACCCATTCCAGAAGCTGAATTAGGAGAGCTCATAGGTCTTAAACCAATACCAGGAGGGCCACTAGACTGAAAAAGAACAAAGAAACGTTGGTGTGAAAAACTTCATCGGAGAAGAGATATAAGTCATATAGGCCAATAATTGATCTACAAATCATTTACGCCCGTTCGATCCCTTATAATACATTGGGAATAATCGACCTCAAAAGGTAGAAAACTTCACTTCAGTTATAAAAACATCAAAGTAGAGCAATAGGTTGATTCCTTGCAACTGCAAAGTAAAAACTAAGATGCAAGGGGTAAAAAGAATTCTTCCTTTACATTAACAGAATTGCACACCTGCTGGTGGTAGGATGTAGTATGTGATGACGGAAATATATCTGATCCGTGCAAATGAAGGAGATCTTGATTATTTGCAGGTGAAAAGGAGACCGTGCTGTTACTAACTGCTGAAGAATGCTGTTGCTGCTGCTGGGGTCGATGTGTATATGTACTCCCTAAGCTAAATCCAGCAGACCTTCCAATCTGAAGATCAAAACAGGAACGTTAGAAATGATTACTAGCCCAAAACCAAATGGGATAGTCAGCAGAAGAGTGTAAAAAAGTGTTCCCACAGAGAACTGCTGCGACTGCATCATAGGCACAGAATTTTCATGTTGTTCTGTCTGATGCATATCCATGCCATAATCAGCATTCCCACCTGCACTAGATCTAGAACTATAATCAATAATAGAAAGTGTTCTATATCTGAAGTGCGCAAAAGGACAATGTAGGTTATGATGAGATGAATTGATAATCCAGGCTGATGAGAGAAAAACAATTTCAGAACTCACCATGAAGTAGCAGCTGAGCTTAATTATTGCAATAGCCTACGTGAATAATAAATTATGAAATTCTACTTAATCGGTTCAGCTATAACTCATGGTCAACTAGAATATTTACAAGCAATAGTTCTCCAAAATTATTGTGTTATTCTTGAACAAGATTAGAGGGAAAAGCCTAATGAGTTACATGAATGCATGCTGTGGGAAGCAAAAAAGGGATTTGCACCTTTAAATCTAGGTAACGCTGGAAAATCTTCATTCTGAATGCTGAACTCCTGGTTTTGTTGGACAATAGGACTAAGGCCTTGTTTTCTCAGCGAGCCTGAAATGTTTACATGACATTCCTAAAGGTCAAAATTGGTGCAGAGAAAAAATAATTATTAAAAAATAAATTTTAGACACCAACAATGCCTAGTCACTAACTTAATTGCCCTTGAGGCCCTCCTGCAGAACTTGGACGACTAGTCAACTGAGGGAAATCGTTGATATCAAAAGGAGAATTGTCATTAGCATTCACATCATTCAACATCCCCAGAGAACTGAGACTATTCACGCTCTGCATATGATTTTGGGAAAGGGGACCTCCGGCGCTAGGATAAGAATTACCCAACATAGAAATGACCTGTTGAGATCCTGAAGCAAGAAATGTCATCTACCACAAAACAGCATAGAACACTTTTAACCACAAGGTAGCATACATATATAAGAGCATTGTAATGAATGCATTTCCATTTATTTTCTGGTTAGAACAGCATCAGAAATAAGATATTTGTCAAACTTAAGTAAAAAGACACAACTTAATCATAATTAACAATTCATCTCCCGTAAACTTTGTAAGTGCATTTCTGCCAATTGGACTTCTTTTTTGTAACCATGGACTGAGCAGGGGTATTTCATTCCCCATGTTTGTTTGGCAGTTCAATAAAATTCTCTAGTTTCTTATATAAAATTTTTAAAAAATATTAAAAATAAGAGCATGAATAGGATAGTACTAGAAAACAAAGTAAAATGAGTAAATAGCTTCCAGATACCGCACCACATCACTCTATCAAACAAACCCAATTGATTTATTTCTAAGCTAGTATCTAATACCTTGCATTGTAGAGTACAAGTAGTACAAAAGAGAGGTGACAACATTATTATGAATCGTTACACAAGCATTTTTCTTTTTATAGGAGAATCATTATACAGGCATTCATTCAGAGATTCAAGGGATTGTACCTTGTGGAAGCACACCACTCATTAAACGGTTTTGTCCTTGCACAGATAAACTTCCAGATCCACTATTAGCACCAAGGTTTAGACGAGAAGAAAGACCAGGTAATGACAATCCCCCACCAGAAGTTATACTCCTTCCTATGTTGCCTCCACTTACCATATTTCCCATTGAACTTGTGATCCGAGGACCTGAATTTCCCAAAATTGGAGATACACCCAACCCTGGAACAGTATTTCGATTACCAATACCAGCAGAACTAGACAGAATCCCAGGGATAGAACCACCAACTGCATTTGTGCTGCTACTAAATCCAGGATTTCCTACAACACTTATACCTCCTCTATTTGCAACTCCTAAATGCCCATGAGAGCCGCCATGAGACAACTACGGAAGAAAAGAAAACAGTAAAACTGGAGTGGAAGGACATAAACTTACAAGGGTTATGGAAATGAAAAAGATTATAATTTCACCTTCATTGCCTCTGAATCTCTTAAAAGATGTCATTTCATGGTTATGTTCGGAAATTCCAATAACAAGTCCAATAATAAAATATTATGATCCGATAACCTATTTGAAAAGTAATTCTCACTCATTCCTTCATCAACAAAGCTATTGGACGTCCAAATTCTTCTATAATAATAATTACAATAATCTTTCAAAAATAATTGCAGTTGAGTGCAATTTTATTTGATAGGCAGAGTGATCAAATATCTAAAATATGTCATTGTACAACAGCTAAATTTTGGTGAGCACCATAAAGGTGACTATCAAAACTACAGGGAAAACTGATGCTAAGGATCTCAGTCAATAAGGTGGCATTGAGTTCTGAATAAATAGCTTGACCTTGAAACATACCTGTGAGAGAGCAACAGGAAGGTTGTTTGATGCAGCATAACGCCCACTGGAAAGTGTTCCAGTAGGTTGCTGCACCCCACCAGATGGAACATTATTAATCGTTGAATTTCTCAAAGCTAGTGCACCTGACATGTTCTGAATATTGAAGCTTCCATGAATGTTATGCAACCCTTGCATAGTTCCTGGAAATTGGGACCTCTAAGTTTCATAAATTTGAATAAAAATATAGAAACTCTAAGAACATGCACCCACCAGAGTGATGAAAAACAGGGGAGGCTGCGCCAGATTGACCAGAAAATGAGGTAGCAAAAGATCGCCCAGCTCCATCTGGAACATTCGAAGCTGATCCATTAAGAGATGACTGCAACGAACAAAACTACGGCAATAAACAAACCCTGTTTTCTTGTACAATTTTAAATTTCACACAGACAATTTTGCAGTCTAAGTATAATGCATCAACATAAAAAGGGGAAGAACTATCATTTACAACAGTACGTTATAATAAGTTAACAAATGTTGCTGATAGTTATAAACTTAAGATTAAATCAACCAAAGTCAACTAGAAACCCAATAAGAATGAGGAATTCAATTAAAATGGAATTTCAGCAATCAAAAGAATAACATTCTTATCTAACAAGAAAGTCTTGAACCAATTACAACTAAAATACTACATGAAATGTAAATTAAATTTAACAAAACAAAAAGAATTCCCCCCACCCACCACCACACACATGATACACCAAGGTTAAGAATTACTTTGCTTCTGAAATTACTATAATTTCCGTGAACTATAGATGCAATGACTAGTGCACAGAATCAGATAAGCAATGAGAGTATCTGCAATAAACTTAAAGAGAAATCGTATGTAACTCAACTCCATACACGTCCCAATGCAATCATAGACATATAGAAACGTAGATAGCTGACAATACATTAAGTAAACCCGACATGGCATGCGGTGGGTGTAAAAAGAACTATGCAAATTTCATTCCTTCGTCAAAACAGCTGTTGTTCCAGCTTTTGGGGAGCCAGAAGATAGAGAAGCTATTTGAAAGCTTTATTGCTAACGATAACAGCCTGAAAATAAAAGTACGATAAACAAAAGTAAGCCCAGGAGTAAGATAAAAAAATATAAGAATAAACCCAACGTGGCTGCAGAGTCTGTAAAATAAGAAAAACAAGGAGTACATATATGATTCAGAAATATAACCCTTCCCTTGTAGAACACAAGTAGAAGTCCAGGCAGCTTCTAAAACTAAGATGTCCAGTGAAAGAAGTGGAATCCATATGAAAAATATTAGATCCAAAGCTTCATAAGAAAACCTTCGGTTTAACCTGAATGAAGGCCTGTAAATCTACTAAAAGAAACGTGCAACTGACTCGAAGTCATAAGGTAACCTATCAGTAGCTCCACAAGAATTGCGGGCCTAAAAGCGGCCTACAACATGGATAATCTTGAGAATCTTCCTTACAAGAAATATATGATAATGCCGTCTATATGCGGAAATGACCAACTGTTAAAAAGTGCATGTTCAGAAGCTCCAAAAGAGCTACAGGAAGTTCCAGATATAGATATAGTTATACGACTCAGTCAGTGGACGCTTCTCCCGTGTCTAGGCGAAAACAAAAAATTGAAAAAGAAATCGAACCAATAAATGCTGTAATGCTTCTGGACTGATTCTTCTAAAACCAAAACCAGTTTCAACTACTTCGGACTAAAGAATCCATCCAAGTAGAACAAGAAACGACACTAACTTTGGAAGAATGTCCTGAAACCCTAGGATGGATCGGGATTGATAGATGAACAGAAGATATGTCCAACAGTGAAGACGACGAAGAAAAGATGTTGAAGTGGCGCGAGCGAGAGAAGATCGGAGATCAAACTCACTACAAATGGAAATGACTAAATCTCAATGATAGAAATCAGAGATGGAAAGTTACCTGAATAGCAGATCGGCGAGATGTCTGGTTGAGAAACAAAGATCTTGCGTGCCCTAAACAAGAAGATGAAGAAAAAGAGAACAACAGAGAAAGAAGAGGAACAAAATTGCCGGAGTGATGATATTTGAAGGGTGATAAAAGTCAGGTGCGACCCAGCAGAACAGTCTTCGCTCCTCCCTTAATTTTATTTTATTTTTTCCACTTTTTCATTATTTTAGACTAAGATTTGAGGCTAATAAAATTATCTCTAAATCACATATTTATTTTAAAAATACTCCTAATTTTAAATAAAAAATCAATAATATTTATAAATTTTTTTAAAAAAATCTCAAAAATATTTTTCAGTTAGTTTTTAAAATTTTTAATAAGTTTAAAAGGAAGTTTTTTTAAAAAGCTGGAGAGTATTGTCCAAACCTTTAAAAACTTAAAAAGGGTAATTTTTAAAACTTTTTTAAAGTTTAATAATATTTTTGAAGTAAAAATAAATGTATTTTTTTAATTTTTTTTAGAAAATTGAAAAATATTATGAAATAAATTAATTATATTTAATTTTTAAAATATGACATTTATAATTTTAATTATTTAACTAACTATTTATAATTTTATTAAAATCGTTTACTTGAAAATGTTATTAATTTATTCGCTAAATAAACTCAAAAATTATTTACAAATTAATCAAATTAAATTAAAGAAAGTTTATATAGTTTTATTATATATTTATCTCATATGTACATCATTTAGTTTAGTTTTTAAAATATAAGTTATACTAAATAGTTATAATTAAAGTTTTATATTATTTTATTAAATTCATTTATTCTATGATAATTATAAGATATATTACAAAATAAATTAAAAATATAATAATGGACCCGAATTAGTTATCTAAAATTAAATAATATAATAAAATGGTTTAAATTACTTTATTTATATAAAATTCCCATACCATTTACCACACCTTATTTAATTAATAGACATTATTTTCCAAACATCATAAACAAAACGTTTTTATCTATTTATTTGGGTAACTGTACATTTTTTTTCGAGAAATTATAAATAAAACTTTTTATTTATTTCCCATTGAACTCGCGATACAAGGACTTTCATTTCCCAAAATCGGGGATACGCACCATCTTGAAACAACATTTTAACTACCAATATCACCGAAAGTAAGACCCCACTAATTGCATTTGTGCAACTACTAGGACTTTGAAACATGCTCGAGAAAGAGCAACAAGAAAATTATACAAAAACATAAAAGGTCAATGTTTGTTTGGTTCTTTCTATCTTGAGTTGAATATCGAAGAAAAGTGGATTTGTGTGTAACCAACTCCAAACTGTACATGAGACAAGTTTCTACCTCATATAGCACGGCCTGATGACAGGAGAGGTCAAGATGGTTCGGAGTTCAAGTGCATCAAGCTCAAACGCTTTCCCTCGATGGGACATGGATCTCGAATCCTCTTCTCCTGTAAAGTGAAGGAATGAAGTCGAAGTTTGAGTATGATATAGTGAAGAGCTTAAGTTCAAGCGTGATTTACGAATCATGCTTTTACTTACAATTTTATTGATATAAGACTTTTTAGACAACTAAAAGCGAATGTACGAAAGTTTATGTTTTATCATATAATTGTCCGAACAAAAAGAGATAATCTGTATTCAATGGTATAATATTATTATTTTATTAGCTTATTTTTATTTGAATAGTTATATTGAGAATTGTTTATTTTTAAAATAATTTTTATGGCCACGAGAATAAAATTTAAAAAGAAAAAAAAATTATGAAAATATATATAATTGTGTGGATATTAAATTTAAAATATTGATGCAAATTAAGAAATAATGTAAATAATTTGATCGTAATATGACTATAAATTTCATATATATATATATATATATATATATAAATAAAGTAATTTATGTTATATTTTAAGATATATACTTGTAGGTGGCTGGAGGAATTTCGTTTCAATAACAATATATCCCTCTAATTTTATTTATTTATTATTATTTTGAATTCCATTGTAATTAATTAATCCATACTAAACCCTAAAAACATAATATGGCTAGCTGGCTTTGAAAAATTGTGTATTAAAAAAAAAATAATGGAAGTCTTTATTCAACTACCAAATGGAGACAGATGGCGAGCAGCCGCAACCAATCGTTCTCTTGGAAGCGTAATAAATAATAGAGAAGAAACGCGTCATAAATTGCCCCGTCAACCACGTTATCCATATATATTATTTCCTAATTTCTATTTAAAATTTTTATGCTAAATTAATAAAATTACATCTCAAATTTATATTTACTTCAAAAATATCCGTAAATTTTAAAAAAAGTTTTAATATTTTGAACTTTTAAAATAGAATATTTTTTTATACTTTCAAATTAAAAAAAAAAAACACTTTTATACATATTTAGTATTATGTTTAAAAAATACATATAGAATTTTAAATATAATATCACTTTTATAAATAAAAATTATAATAAAATTTACTGAAATACATGGAATGGATGAAAGTCGTTTATCGACACCTCCTAAATTATTTTTAAATTTTAATATTATTTTACAAATTACGAATATTTTTTATATTTTAAAGTTTAAAGAGGTTTTTTAAATTTTTAAAAGAGTTTTTTTTTTTAAATATTAATCACAAATAAATAATTCATATAATTTTTTAAGTTAAAGAAAATTACACTCTTTAAATAATTCTATATTTTTATTGTTACAACAATAATTTATAATTAACTACAAATTTATTATTTATTATTATTTTAAACTAAACACTTTTTTTTTTAATTGTTATAATATTATAGTCAATTTGTATTTCAACCAAAAATTTACTTACTTTCTTTTTGGATTTACCGTTCTCTTGGGTTAAAAGATAGGCAAACAAAATCTTAAATTTTATCTCAAGTTATTTGTTTTCTTTCTACTTAAGTTGGGTATTATTATTACTATTACTAGTAGATAATTACCTTTATTTTCCCCATTTTTAATTATTATTTTTATTTCACATTTTTTTATATAATTTAAATATTTATTAGATACCATCATAAATATAGTCAATATTCAACTAGCCTGTGAGAGTTGAATTCTCGATCCCATATTAAAAAAAATATATATATATATATTATTCCTTTATTTTAAATGAATTATTGTACTTGTGTTTATAATAATAATTATTATTTATTACACTTCCGGCAGCATATTTAACTGCCTTGTCACAAAATTCCTGCCCGTTAGCTAATATTTGTCGATAAAAACAACTTTTTTTTTTTTAAATTATTGATGATTTATTGTGCTAGCTTGCCCTCACAGCCAATTGAATAATTGATTAGCTTTACTACATATTTCAACGACATTATTGTTCGAGTAGGATTTGAAATCTAAATTTACCATATGATGTCTTCAACATTCTCTTGTAATACAGTCACGTTACTTCCAATTTTAAGAACAAACACTATCTCAAAAAACTAACACAGATCATTTTAACACCCTTTGTCCTCACTCACAAGTTTGTTACAAAAATAATTCATGAAGGTACTGAGCATATAATTACTCCCAACAAAATATATTTTTAACTCGGGAGTTTATACGATTAAGCCATAAAAATGAAAATACACCTTATTAGTATAGATAGTAACTTTTACTTATTTTTAGTTATTCTATATTTACGAGTGCTCTTCTTCTGGTATTGGTTCGTTCACGTACCCCTTATTTACTCGGGTGTCACAAATTATGTATTACATATATGTTTTATTATTTTCAATAAAATAAATGGATTTCAATATCATTAATAATATTTTTATGCAATAAATTATATATATATTTTTTTATGCCTAAAATAAACAGAATTACTAAAAAAACCACTGATGGTTGAACTGTGACAAAATTTGCATTTGACTAACCGTGACATATTTTGACTGGTCAACACTTCGTTAACTTGTAATATAAGTCAATCTAGTTGAGAGTCGAGTGAATTCGAAAAAGCTAGATTCTTCTTATTTGGCATTTTTTTTTCTCCCTAAAAAAAAAATATTTCATATTTATAAAATAAGAAGAAAGCATTTATACATTCCTTAAATAAACATCCATCATTTATATTCTCTTTATAAAGCCGTTCAACCAGGCGTAAATTTTACTCTTCAAATAAAGATATTATACCAAAAAATGAAATTCGAAAATAAAAAAAATAAAAAATACATTATATATTTGAATACAACAAGTATAAGCTTAAATTACACCTTCTGAAATATATATATATATATTTAAAATTTTAGATTTTGTATTTAATATGTCCAAAAAAATTAATATTATTTAATAAATCATATAATTCCATAAGATAATAAAAAAAAGAGACAATTACACGTGGCTAGAGCTTAAATTAACAAATTCTTTATTGATTGAATTTTATATTTCGTTGAATTATAATCAATTATTGCATTGTATATAAATAAAAGAAACTAAAGATATATTTTAGTATTTTAAATTTAATTTAAAAAGTTTTTAAATTAATTTTGTATTAATACTTGTGAGTGGACTCGGACTCGGACCCAAAAAACCCGAAATCCATGTGCTAACTGACGATTGCCTCGTGATGGACGGCTCAAACTTCATTACACCTTTCTCCAATTTATTTATTTAGTTTAAATTTCATGGAATCGAATAAATGCGAATAATAAACTTTTCACATTTCGTCAATGGGTTCTGTTCTTTTGTGGCGTTTTCTTGCTGGATTCAAACCAGTTTTACCCAACTCTGAAACTTGCTCTTTCTGTTACTTTTGAATCCCGCCATTAAAGCCCAACTGTTCTTCCTCCTCAAAGTTTCTTCTCCGTTTAGCATCCATTTTCCCCTAGATTTTACCTTTTTACAAGTTCTATCCCGAGATGAACTTGATGATTTTGAGTTTTGCCAGAAGAATTCAGCTGTCAGTCCGCGTTCTAGCCCCCTTTTGACCGTGTGATCATTTGATCGTTCTTTTGTTTTTTTGTTGCTTTGCTCTGATTGCATGTAATAGAACTGTATCTGTGCGCTTTTAAAGCTGTCTTCAACTTCATCCCAGTTGGCGCTTTTTGAGATTTATTGTACTTTGCTTCCCTGTTTGCCTCAAATTTGCCTCCTGCTCGGGATTTAAATCTGGTTCTATCACTGTTTGGATCTCTGATGATAAAGAAAGTGCTAATTTCTCGGTCGTTTTCATGGATTCTGATTGAACAAACATTCGACTGATTGTTTTTCATCATAAACCCTAGTTTTTCAAAAGTTGCTTCGAATCAGGTTTTGTTTGTGATTCTGTTTCTTGATTAGCTCTAGAAACTTTTACCGATGGATTGTAGTAGAAGATTTGGATTACTGTTCTGGATTTTGTTCATTTCGTTGCTGCCGTGCATTTCTTGTTTGTTTAATCCGGTAGATAATTATCTTATTGACTGTGGATCGCCGGCTAATGTATCTGTGGGTAATCGTGTTTTCATGGCCGATAATTTGGCCTCCAAGTTGCTTTCCACCCCAAAAGTCATTCTGGCTAATACGTCTTCAGTGCCTGCCAGTTCTTCTAATGATTCGTCGCTGTTTGGAACGGCTAGAATCTTCACTGAATCATCAAAATTCAAGTTTCCAATTAAGGCTGGAAGGCACTGGATCCGTCTCTATTTCTATCCATTTGTGTTTCCTGGCTTCAATATGAGTGCTGCAAATTTTAGTGTTTCGACCCAAAATTTTGTTCTGCTGCGAGATTTAGTTGCTGTGAAGAATCCTGTAGTCAAAGAGTTCTCTGTTAACGTAGCTTCAGATACTCTTGAAGTTATATTTACTCCTGTTAATGGCTCCTTTGCATATGTGAATGCCATTGAAGTTACTTCTGTTCCTGACATTCTCATCACTGATGAAGCCAGTTTGCTAGAACCGTCTGGTAAATTCGACGGGCTATCTGCTCTGGCATATGAGACAGTTGCTAGGGTTAATATGGGTGGGCCAAAGGTTTCTCCAGATAATGATCCTCTCGCGCGGAGTTGGGTTCCTGATGAGAGCTTTCTAGTTAATAAGAATTCTGCAATAAGTTTCTCTAACATTGCAGCTGTTAAATACAATGATGATGGGGCAGCTCCAGAGATTGCTCCAAATGTTGTCTACGGTACCCTAACCGAGATGAACTCGAAGGATGATCCAAGCAGTAATTTCAATGTGACATGGCGATTTAAAGTGGACCCGGAGTTTCAGTACCTTGTTCGGTTTCACTTCTGTGACATTGTGAGCAAAGCTCTACACCAACTTTATTTCAATGTTTACGTTGACTCATGGTTGGTCGCTCGGGATTTAGATCTTAGTATTCCTCTTAACAATGCTCTGGGCACTCCTTACTATATGGACGCTGTTACAGGATTGATCAAGAATGACATACTTCTTGTGAGCATTGGCCCAGCAAATTTAGCCAATGTGTATCCAAATGCCATTCTAAATGGTCTGGAAATCATGAAAATGAACAACTCAGTTGGCAGTCTTAGTGGGGAAGACTCTGTAATTAGTTTTCTGAACTCGACTTCTTCCAATAAGCACATTGGCTTGATTGTGGGCGTAACCGTTGGTGCATTTGTTGCAGCTATGTTGATTGCCGTTCTGTTTATACTGAATAGACGAAGAAGAAAGGGAATGCATCAAGCTCCATCAAAAACATGGATTTCAATATCAACTGCTGGAGGAATGTCACACACTATGGGAAGTAAATACTCAAATGGCACTATCACAAGTGCTGCTTCCAACTATGGATATCGTATACCGTTCGCAACAGTTCAAGAGGCTACAAATAACTTCGATGAGAGCTGGGTTATTGGTATTGGAGGGTTTGGGAAAGTATACAAAGGAGTTTTAAATGATGGCACCAAAGTTGCTGTGAAGAGGGGTAACCCACGTTCCCAACAAGGACTGGCAGAGTTTCAAACTGAAATCGAGATGCTATCACAGTTCCGTCATCGTCATCTTGTATCATTGATTGGATACTGTGATGAGAGGAATGAGATGATACTGATTTATGAATATATGGAGCAGGGGACCCTGAAGAGCCATCTATATGGTTCTGATTTCCCTAGTTTGAGCTGGAAGGAGAGATTAGAGGTCTGCATTGGAGCCGCTAGAGGACTTCATTACCTCCACACTGGTTATGCTAAACCAGTTATTCATCGTGATGTCAAGTCTGCTAATATTTTACTCGATGAAACGCTCATGGCAAAGGTCGCTGACTTTGGGCTTTCAAAGACAGGGCCTGAAATTGACCAAACCCATGTTAGTACGGCCGTGAAAGGAAGTTTCGGGTACCTCGATCCCGAATATTTCAGGAGGCAACAACTGACTGAGAAATCAGATGTTTATTCTTTTGGAGTTGTTCTGTTTGAAGTCCTTTGTGCAAGACCTGTCATAGATCCAACCCTTCCAAGAGAAATGGTAAACTTAGCTGAATGGGCAATGAAATGGCAGAAGAAAGGGCAGTTGGACCAAATCATTGATCCTACTCTAGTGGGAAAAATTAGACCAACTTCTCTTAGGAAGTTTGGAGAAACTGCTGAAAAATGCTTGGCTGACTATGGAGTCGACAGGCCATCTATGGGAGACGTATTATGGAACTTGGAGTATGCACTTCAGCTACAAGAAGCTGTCGTTGAAGTCGATCCTGAAGATAACAGTACAAATATGATCGGTGAGCTCTCTCCACAGATTAACAATTTCAACGACGTTGAGGCAGGTGTTTCCGCCACACGGTTTGACATTCCGGGTGTGGATGATCTCTCGGGAGTCTCCATGAGTAGGGTGTTCTCTCAGCTGGTGAAGTCTGAAGGTAGATGACCGATGTTTCTGCAGCGTTAGGCCATCGTGTCGATTCTTCATACGTGATTTAATCCATTCCCCATGGACCACTTTCAACCCCATAAAAAAATAATAGCCTTGAATTGGTCCGACGCAGCTGAATATGAGGCGTTCTGTATACACCAGGCGACGATGTAGGCAGGTCCTTTTAAACAATGTCAAACTACATGTAACATATTGGGTTCTTTTCTTGTACAGAAGGAGTTTTATGCAGGCGAGTCTTTGCAATATCCATCAAACATGTTACTTCTTTAACGAACAAGGTAGTTCGATTGCGATTTGCATCACTTCATCGTAAGTATTCGTTTTTTTTCGCTGTTTCGTGTTTGTCTAGAATCATTGAGATATCTAGTCTTTTAATGTTTCTTGCTTAGTTGAGTTATCCTGGCAATGTCGACGACCATGGTGTGCCATTCTTTTCTGAATCCGTTTGGGAGCGGTGTCGAGGCGCTTTGTCGTTTATGTGTTTAGCTCTGAACCTCTTTTTGTTGGAGCATGTATTTGCTGCAATTTATAGGTAAATTCTTCATCTGGGCATTGTTTTCTTTGTGATACCTTGAATATTTCAACTCTGCAATGAACAGCCATGCATTCCTGTCTTCAACTTTCAATGCATCTTAATTGCTGTTATTGGTTGATCCAAGCCACTCGATATGTTTCCAGTATTTATTTATCATATGGTATAAATTCGTATGATATCTTATTGTGATGATTGTTTGGTTTTAAGATTTGGTTCGACAAATGATTAATATAATTTACAATTTAAACACATTATTTGTTCTTAGGATAGTGAAATATTTAATGAGGATGAAGGGATTACTCTATCCTTAAATAGTTATCCATTCGTGATTATTCTCGAGCCTATTACTTTTAACTAGGTCAACCCTTCTTCACTAGAGAACTCCCTCTATTCGATAAGCTCAACCATAGTTCACTATATGACTATGCCATTGAGATACAGTGATATAGCTAAGTCGTGAACATGATTCTGATACTTCTGTTAGGGACTCTAGAACCATTGTAACAGTCTAAGGTCCAAAGGGGTGGATTGTGGGATCCTACATTACTTAGAAAGGGTAATGAAACATTCTTTTTAAGGGTATGAAAATCTCTCCTTAGCGGTTTTAAAAATCTTGAGAGGAATTGCTAAATGAAAGCTCAAATAGGACAATACCTACAACCATCAATATATACTTACTTGAATATCATGTGATGTAAGTTAACCTCTGACTATTTCCTGAATCAAACGAGCATATGAGATCTTCAAAACCAAACCAAGTTTTGTTATAAAATTGGACCAGATTGAAAAATTGAATTTACTATTTTAACCCTGGTTTACATTTTAAAACTAGCATCAAGACTAAAAAATATTGGTTAATTATTGAAAGATTTTAAATTCGGTATTAATACTAATAATTAGTTCAATTTCCATTGTAATAACCGTAGAACATTACTGAGAATGGTAATTACGATATTCATATTTTGATTCATTAAATAATAATAATTGTTGGACGATGAAAGTCCCACATCAGCTAATTTAGAAAATGATCCTGAGTTTATAAGTGAGGAATAGTAACTCCATTGGTATGAGGCCTTTTGGGTAGCTCAAAGTAAAGCCACGAGAGATTATCGTCAAAGTGGACAATATCATACCATTATAGAGAGTCGTGTTCGTCTAACAATAATAAACAAATTCTTTTAATAAACTTTGTTTATCGGTGGGAATTTCGGGCCGGGCTTTTTCTTGCTAGCTGGATCTCTCCAAGCCCAATCTTGCAGACATTGCGTCATCTTTTTGGGCTTAAAACTCTGAACGTGGGCCTTATGTTGGCCCAATTCGACTGTTCTGGGTAGCCCGGCACTGGAGTTTCGAGTTTCGTTCCCGCCGTTAAACCCCTCGTCTATCCCTTTTTCACAGAGTTACAGAGCTCTACAACGTTTCAGTCTCATTTCTGCTTGAACACTGTGCTTCTTCAATTCAAAGCTCTTTCATCATCGCCATGGGTTTCTTCGACCTCAACATACCTTACGACGAGCATTCATCATCATCATCTTCGTCTTCTTCTTCAAGTAGGAATCGCATCAGGATTGTGGCCAAACTCATGGAGCTCGGCTACTCTGGTATTGCCTACAACCGTACAGTCAAAGGAGTGATGTCCGATCGAGATCGTTGTTCTATTCCCCTCCTCAACGTTTCATCTCTTCACAGTATCCTTCCATCCTTCTCCGCCTCCGTAGAGTTCCATCGGGATCTCCTCGGCGTCCCACGGTCCTCTCGTTTCCGGCAGTACACGCGTCTTACTATTTCTGTTAACAGTTTGCACGAGGTTATGGCTGTCAATTCTGACAACCTTATTCTGAAGACCTACGATTTGATTGCTGTGAAGCCTCATAATCAGTATTCTTTCGAGCAGGCTTGCGAGAAATTGGAGGTATGTCGGATTTACCTGTGTATATATTTTATTATGTAGCTACAAAATGTAGCATTTTTTGGATTATTCAATGATCTTGTTTGGCGTGGAGAAATATTAGTGATTGCATAAGTTAGTAATTCTAGTTGCAACATCTTTACTAATTTGAACTTATCATTTTTGCATTGATCTGCACAATATGGTCATATTAACTGTGTTTTTCATCACGTAGATAGATATAATTGCCATTGATTTTGCGGAGAAACTTCCTTTTAGCTTGAAGCAAGGAACGATTAAATCTGCAATTCAGGTTTGTCAATCATTAATCTTTCGTTTTTTGATATACATGTGGTCATAAATAAATGTATCATAATTTTAGTCTGTGGTGATTGAGTTTTCCCTTCTGGCCATTTTCTTTTTTATCGCAGCGTGGAGTTTACTTCGAAATCATGTACTCTGATCTCCTTTCCGATGTTCATGATAGGAGGCAAACAATATCCGCTGCTAAGGTGAAATGAAAGTTTGTAGTGTCACGCATCGTAGATTGTTGTAGTGGACCAGTGGTCTACTAGAAATGTTATGTTCTGATATCTTGTTTTTGTTAATATATTGAATTTCTTTCTTAGTGTGAATGAACACGTCTTATCATCTGTGCTTTAGCCTGTTGAACTTTCAGATCTTGGTGGATTGGACTAAAGGAAAGAATCTCATATTATCCAGTGCTGCCCCCTCTGTAAATGAAATCAGAGGACCTTACGATGTTGCAAACTTGTCATCATTGCTAGGTGTCTCTATGGAATGCGCAAAAGCTGCTGTTTCAAAAAACAGTAGGTATGAGTGCTTTAAAAGAATAATTAAAAGAGATGTTGTAATTTGAAAAAGTACAAATTTATATTTACATATTTTTCATGTGTACTGCATTTCAGGAATCTTATAGCTAATGCTCTAAAGAGAAAGCAATTCTACAAGGAAACCATTCCAGTTGAAAGGATATCATCAGATGATAAATTAGATCTGAATGACCCTTTGTCAGCGGATTTGTTCAAATGGGATCCTATATCAGGTGGTGCAGGTGATTTTTTATTGGATGATATAGCAAAATCTTTTGCTGCCTCTAATGAAAAATTGGGAGGTGTGAAAGCCATTGACTTCAATTCAGTCATTGACGACGTGCCACCACAAGGTTTCCTAGTCAAGAATGTAATATCAGGCTCCAAGGCAAAACTGTTGTCGAATGAGAAAGGCAAAAGCATTGTTGAAGAAATTGCGCAGCCAAAGACCTCAAAGCTGGAAGAACCTATTGAAATGGACATTGATAACGTGCAATTGAAAAACCCACTACCCAGTAGCGTATTAAGTGCAGTATCAGCAAATGAGCTTCTGAATTCTCCTACATCTACCAGAGATGTATCAGCTGTAGTTTTCGGAAATGACAGAAAAGAAATTTCTAAAATGGAGGCTGTTGATTCTCATCAGTATGAATATGGTCTAAAAAGTTCTGATATATTGACTGGTTCAGAAAATATATTGAGGGACAAAACTTCTACTAATTTGGTTTCAGAAGATCAAAAGAATGTGATAATGGACGGTACATTTACAGCTGAGGAATGTTTACTTGATGCAAGACTTGGGAAGCCTGGGGATGTGGCAATGGCTGATTGTCAGGTTTCTCCTCTTGGTTTGAAAGATGATCATTTGATCTCGATTCGACAACAAACATCTGAGGTGTTAATGGAAGAGCAGAATAGTGGAGAAGCTGATCCAGAGATCACACAACCACCTTCCGATCAGTAGTGTATATCTGGTGTGTTGTCTACAGGTACCTAACTCCCATCGAGATATCAGACATGGAAGCTTGTTTGTTATCCTCCCCTTTCAGCCTTTGTTCTTCTGATTTGGATACTTGAGTATATTTTCTTCACTGTAGTATTCATATTAAAGTGAACATTAATATTCAACTAGGAGCCGCCAAGCAGTTGACATATATGCAACAAACAAGCTCACTTCTTCACTGTAACCCCACAAAATATTATCAGTTTGGGATATACCAACTGAACTGAAACCTCCATGGTGATTGAACTTGGTTTTGTTTTCCTATTTAATTCCGTGCACTATGAAAACTGAATCAACTGAAACCTTCAATTGCTTGATTTTATTTTTTTTTTAAACTAGTAAATGCAGGGAAATGCCCATCGAAACGAGAAGACATCATCCAGTGTCAAAGCTTTCGCTTGGGGTTAATCAACCCTCTGGCCTTCAAGAAAGCCCCTGAAACGTATACAGAGAAGTAGTGATCAAAACGGAGGGGACATCACCCAGTGCTATTGCTTCCGTTCAAGCGCTCAATCAATCTGCTAGCCCCAAGAAGGTCCGCAAAACTAAATGCTAGCAGTTATCTATTCTTCGGTTTTATTTATCTTGATTGATACCATTTAGTCTTGTTTATAATACTTGGGTATGCATATCGCACCTATTAATCTCAAATGATTTTTTTTTTTGATATCGAGTATGAAAAAGTTATCCCTTTTTTTCCTTTCAAAGAACTCATGAGGGTGTTTGGGTAAAGTTAGATATGCATATTTGGACTAATTTTATTAGTCTATCACTTGGTTTTAGAATAGTTGATGCTGGAGAAATCGTAGGTCATTTACTATTTTAAAGGTTATAGATGTTTTATGAACTTGATTGTTTCTAGTTTTCTGGACCTCCATTTAAATTAGTTGTTAAGTGAGAGGGGTGTGTAGTGTAAACGATCATTAAAGAACCTTTTTAGAAAGTCAATGTCTTATTCATTGAGTAAAGCTCCAGTTGGCATGGTCAAAGTCCATTCAACAGCAAGTAACCTACTCTTATTCACTGAGCTTAGTTAATACGTGACTATAAATATTCGCCATGATGAGGACTCAAGCTTATATCATTTATCACCAAAGAATTTCAACTTGCGTTTTCTAAACCAATTGGGATTGTGTCCATTTCAGCATCAAAACTATATTGCAAGTTCCATTCATATTCACCCTCTTCCCATTTGGGTCTGTTAGTTCAAAGGAATGCCGTAGGGTTCAAGTCTACTTTAACTATTTCATTTAGGATTAGGAGCACAACATGTCTTTCTTTTTATCTTTTTTCTTGGTATGATTTTTATTTTAGGAAGACCATAATATTGTAGTTTTTTAGTAAAATTGGAACGAATAGTATAATTTTGAGGAGTGTTTACTTTAATAAATTTGAAAGTTACCATCATTTGTTTCTTGAAGGCACGTAAAACCCATATCTTTTGGAAGAAAAATCTAGTCAAGTTGGCCAGTTATTTCTTTTTTCTGTCTGGAAAGATGTGAAATCCATATCGGTTGGGAAGAGGAACAAAACCTTTCTTATGAATGTGTGGAAGTCTCTTTCTAGTAGACGCGTTTTAAAACTGTGAAGTTGATAGCGATACGTAATGGGCCAAAATAAGAAATATCTGCTAGTAGTGGGCTTGGGCTATTACACATAGTATGAGCTGGACACCATGGTATGCCAGCGAGGACGCTAAGGCCCCCAAAGAGGTGGATTGTAAGATCTCACATTGGTTGGAGAGTGGAGCGAAACATTCCTTATAAGGGTATGAAAATCTCTCTTTAGTAGACAACATTTTAAAATTGTGAGGTTAACGACGATACGTAACGAGTCAAATGAGTCAAACGAGTCAAATCTGACAATTGCTAGCAGGCTTGAGTTGAGCTTTAGTTGTTACCTGGATGATTTTACTTTTACTTTTATAGCAATAGTCAAAAGTTTTCTGCCATTTATGTTAGTATACGCATATCTTAATTACCATAATTTGGAAGTAGACTTGGTTAAAGGCATACATAGCTCCATTCTTGCAGTTTTTAAAAATCCTTTTGTAGCAGAAGAGGCCATGGCTAAGCCTGAGAAGTTGGGGCTCATTCTCAGTGTAATGAACCAACCAATTGACCCACCAGGGGATCCAAACTGTAGGAGGCTTGGAATTCCATGAATCTTCCCCACTGCTTGTAAAGCCGCAAAGCACTTCATTGGTGGCAACACACATGTGAGTAACTATATGCCTATGAACAACTAATAAATCAGCCAATTTATGTTATTTTAATTTAGAACTACATGCATAGTTAGAAGGACAACCAGTACGAATTAAGAACCTTTTCTAAAAGTGGCCGGAACTGCTTTTAAGTATTTTTAAAGTACTTCTAATTACATAAAAAGCTTTTTCTTTTTAGGTTAAATTAATAAAAGTATTTATTGTTTCAAAAATACCTTCCAATTAACACCATTTTACCTTTTGTAAAAAAAATTTTAAAAAAATTCTTATGGACGAAAACTATCTAGCGATATTTTATAGATTATCTATTAATGTTTTAATGTTATTTTAGAAAGTTCACAAGTACTTTTGAAACGTAGGAATAATGGTAACGTACTTTTTACACCATTTTGAAAGTTCTAAGGTATTTTTGAAAAGTATTAATGGTTTCTATTTAAAACTTTAGGGATATTTTTATTAATTTAGTTTTTTTTTTTTAAAAAAAAAAAAATATTCTATTGCATGAATGGGTGGAAAGGAATGGTGTAGTGAGTAAGCTAGAGCTTAGATTCTGAAGACTGCGACGGTCACCAAACTAAGTTGCAATCCATTTTGTAGTGACAGTGATTGAAATTCTCCACCTTTTTGACTTATCTTTAGCCCTTATCCCCCGAGCACTCAAACAGAGCTCGAATCAGTTCCAAAAATGGCTCAATCTTTACACACCAATCAATGTCAAATCCTTTTCACAAAAAGATGAAAAGGAGTTCCATTATTGATTTTTATTACAAAAAAACAAAGACCCTTTTTATTTACATCCCAAATACGAAACTGTCCATACATCTCCAGAAAAATAGAAAAACAGAGAACCTCAAATTAGCAAGTGAATGGCAGGTCAAAATGGAAGAGGCCTATTGGAACTAGAATTACATTATTATTGTTGTTTTTGTGTGAGATTTCATGGAATTAGGTTTGCAGAAGAATATGCATCAATGAAATACTTTATCCAATTTTCACCACCATTATTTGCCTCTTCCTCTTCTTCTTCTTCCTTTTGCCCATGACTCCACTTCATTGGAAAATTCTTCGCAACGTTGTCGTTGTACCTTGCGAATCGTCCTCTGATCCGCGGTCGACTATCGGCCAGCGATTTCCTACAAGCATACTTTAACCACACTCAAATATTAGTTTGAATTACTTTTAACAACACCCATGTAATCTAGGGATATAAATATAGATAACTTTCACCACCATTTAGGTTAAGTGGGCTGGTTTTAGCAAATATTTTTATGGTATCATAACCCATCTAATTTAGCTATCCTGATAATTTCTTCACCGGCTCCCAAATCTTCTTCTCATCTACTTCCTAACACTCTATAATCCTTTTGATTATCCTCGAGCTTTCTTCATCAAATTCATCAAATTATCTTATATGGAAAAACCAACTTCTCCTCATAGAGAGTCGAGAGATGCTGGACTACGTTGATGGAACTCTAGTTTCGCCTCCTCACTTTGATGAACCAGCAACCTCCTCAACACTCATTATGGTGTGGAAAGTAGCCCATCAACGATTTTTTTGTCTCTTGCTCTCCTCTCTCACCGAGGAAGCCATTGCTGTTGTGGTTGGTCTCTTCATTGCTCGTGACATTTGGTTCACGTTAGAGACTATGTTTAGCCATCATTTGAAAGTACACTTGTTCCTTCGTGGACTCAATATCGATTTCTCAACTTTTTCTACTGCTCAAATGACTATGATACCACGAGAATATTTGGTAAAAGTTCTCTATTTATCATTTCCAGAATAAAAGTAAATGGAGAGAGCACTAAATGGATTTAGGATATTAGTCTATGATCAAAGGTCAAATATGATACATATGACAAAACGCAAGATATTAGCCTATAATCAAGACGAGAGGATTTTTTAACATCTCATTTCTTGGACTACTTTTAGGATGATTTTAAATTATGGCTTTTCCATTGTTACCTTCCAAATATTGAAACGACCTTTTAACCTAAAGCGAGAGAGAGATCGATGTGACAAAAGCAAAAAAATAAGGATAATTATAATGTGAAAGTAACAACAATATTAGCTTATAGTTGTTGGCATATAGAATCTAGGAAACAATATGTAGGCAGAATAATATTGTGTAGAATTAATCCATAATTTCAAGTAGGATAGATAAAGAATAGGAGAGAGAAGACTTTACCTTGATCTTCTTGTTGAAGTTCCTCTGGTTTCTTTTGCTCTTATATCTTTCAATCCTTTCCTTCTTCTCTTCTGGACTGTATCTGCAAGCTCTGCTTAGCCCTTCAATGGTGATGCTACTTTCACATGAAACTGGACTCTCTGCTCTCTGCTTATTCCTTTGCCATCCCCATTCCTGAACTCATTATTCAAACCCCATTTAATAATATCATATATATTTATATATATTTTTAATCATCCTTTGCATGGAGGTTACCTATGATTATAGCAGCTTAGAACATGTTTGGAATGGTAAAAACGCAACATTTTGAACGAACTAAATCGAAATTGTTGGAGGTGATCTTTGCATTTTTCAGTATAATGATGTGAATCTCTGTAATAGTATGATATCATACGCTTTAAACATAAGCTCTCAAAATGCTTAGTATCAAGATAGTGTCCTTATCATTAATCATTCATTTTTATAAGTCTCACCTTAAAATCACCGGCTTGGAAGAGCGGCCGGCTGACAAGACTCTCAGCTGTGGGTGGCGGTGTCGATGACGACGATGAAGAAAAGGTGCGGTGGAGAAGATTATTGGTTGTTCGGAGAGAAGGGTTAAGGAGGCTAAAAGATTGGTCTAATAAAAATCTATTAGTTGGTCGACGAAATGTTAGGGGTTGCGGCGGAGAAGTCGCTGAACCGTCGCCACAACTGTCGGAAACTTCAGATTTCCAAAGCTTGACAGAGGAATCGGGCAACCAGTCAAAATCAACGCTTGCGAGGTCGGCGGAGGAATGCGAGACGGCGGAAAGAAACGGGGAGAAGGCCATGGAGGACGGCGGCGCGTGAAGAATATGAAAGATCCGATCGGTGGGTACGTGAGAAGAGGGAAGAGGAAGCTCGGGAGAGTTGGAGAATGCAAATGCAGCATTGAGGGACTACTTATCCATGCGAGTTCGGTTGATGACGTGGAATATGACGCCACTTATTATTATTTTTTTCATTTATTCATTATGGAAAAAGCACGCAACTTTAAAATCGTTGACTCGTTTACTGTTATTATTTAGAAAAAAAAATAGTCTCTGTTGGTTATAGAGAATACTCCATTTTCTTCCAAATTATTAAATAATATTGCCGACAATTTTATATTATTAAATTTGTGAAAGAGAAATTTAAAAATATTTGAAACAAATAATTTTTATTTTATTTTTGATATTTACATAAACTAATATAATTATATTATCTTAAATACTCATTTTGTCCACTATTTCCTATTTCCTTTAAATATTATGTTAGAAAAATAATCGAAATTATGACTTCTTAGACAAAGTAAAAATATGTCTAACCTTTATATTATATTCTAATTATCAATATTGGTTCAATTATGAATGTGAGTATAGTTCAATTATCAACCTGAATATAGTTCAATTATCAACGGAAGTATAGTTCAATTAGTTAAAATATAGAATATCAATCATTAACATACAGTTCAATTAATCAATTCAAAATATAGAATATAGTTCAATTAATTGGGAACCTCACCCAATTATATATTAATTTTCAAACATGATTAAAACAATACTAGAAAGAAGACCAAATATAGTTTGAAATTAGGGAGAAAAATAGAGGACATTTATTTATTTATTTATTCCCCAAGGGAAGTAAGAAGGATGTAGCAAAGTGGGTCCATCATATCTTCTACTTCTACATTTGTCACTTTCAAAAAAATTGGGCATTTGCTAAGGAAGTGGGCTGCCAACGTTTCGTTCATCGGTTGGTCTAAAACTACTTACCCTTTGCCTCAAGAATCCACTCTGTTAACTCATTTCCATTTCAATGAACAGCAAAAATTGGGGGGAAAAATGGATACTTTAATGCTTAGAAAGATGAAAGATGGTGGTGGGGTTGTGGTGGATGCATCAAAGCTCGAAGCTTTAGGCCAAAAATGGAGGACCCAACGGCCCTAAAAGGCTTTCTTTATGATTCAAAGCTGGAAAATAAGGCTGCAGAACAGTAAAGGGCACTTCCATCCATGGGGGCCTCAAAAGCTTCAGAAAAAATTTCTTCTCCTCCAACTAATATGTTCGAAAGGCAATCTTGGAGATGCCCATATTATCAGGATTATTAATGGGCAAAAAAAGAGGTCATTTTGACATGATTTAACGAGGGGGGGCATATTAGAGAGATGCCCATATTTATATATATGTGGGTATGATTTAATTTAAGTTGGACGTTGAGGAACCGTGTGGGTTTTCCACATCGAAGGGTCATTTCCTAAAAAGGACCAAAGTTCAGTCCAAAGGCGAAAGGGCAAGTTGAAGAATAACCCATAAAGATAAGGCGAAGGCATAATGTATTGAGAGTCTTTGTCATTTAAAGGAGGAGGAGGAGGAGGAGGAGGAGGAGGAGGAGAACTCAATGCTTTTCAGAGTTCAATCAAAATTTTGAAGACTTTCAATAATAGTATACCATTATGAGTATATGTAGGTATGGATGGCATCAAAGAATATGGAGGACTTGGAGTTCATCACTATTTTGAATAACACTTTCCATTTATTTTTAGAACAAAAAGTTCAATCAAGTCGTTAATTTCTTAGAGTGGAAAGCTTATTCATACCAACTTGATTGCTAGAAGTTCAATAAGTTGGTAGGAAATGATTCAATTCAATATCTATTTGATTTATTATCTCTCACGTTTTAAAAGGATCGTGATTAATGACTGACTCTATAGACTCTAATTTGCTTATTATACTTTGTTGATTTGACGAAATAGTTAGTTTGATAGCCTTTCTTTTTGTTGATTAGACTCTCCTTTCTTCTTCTCCTCCTCTGACAAATACCCCACGACTATTGTTATTGTTCGTGAATGAGAGGTTCCCCTTATTGACCAAAGGATCTCCTTGTTCCAGGTGATTTTAGATCTATAACATAATTCCAAATTCTATGGGATTTTGGCATCATTCTACCTCTCCCTAATTGAGCTTCCCCCTTCTTGATGACTCAAAAAACTTTTTTTCTTTCTAATTCAAACATCTAACTTTAGAAGAATAAGATATATTTTAACTAGTTAATATACGTTGGATTGCTTAGAAGAACTGACCTACAAGAAACTGAGAGAGAGAGAGAGAATTATATAAAACTTGCAGGTTGGGGCATCTTTAATATATTTCAGATTGGCATGGAACTGGTGTGTCCCAAACTAGGGAGTGGAAGCTAGGTTGAATTGCATAAAGGGGGTTCTAGGACCTGTTTGGTTGCAGGAAAACAAGATTTCTATCATCATATTTGATGCCTTGGATGCTTAGAACAGAGCTCTATGAAGTCTAGAAGGAAAATAATGAATTTCTAATGGAACAAATATACAACAGCAAGAGAACTCACCTACAAGAATCTTCCAATCTCCTCAAAACAGAGAAGATAAAGTTGTGTACCTATAGGCTAACACTAAGAGAAAATATAGTTTGAAATGACTTTTCAAGTGCTTAAAAACACGTAAAAAATAATCCCAAACGGGCACTAATTGTGTTTTGATCATCCTTCCAAACGCCAGTCCATCATTTCATGTTTTACTTGATGTGGCTGACGATGAGAATCTACAGCTTCTCATCTTTCACTTTGCAGCTTAAATACAACCAACAAGCATGGGAGCAAAAGAATTTCTTTTCTACATCTAAATTAATAAATATGTAGAAGACCAACCAAATTTATGAAATTGGCCCGTTTTCTCATTTACACTTCGGAAAAGGAAAAAAAAAGAAAAGAAAAAAAAAAAAGAAAAAAAAAGTGAACTTGTAACTAATCTACATGTGAACAAAATATCTACCTGAGCTAAGGCCCTCAAGCTTTAGATGCATGTCTCTATTCTATCGTGCACAAGGGAAAATCAATATACACTTGTAAAAAAGCAAAAATAATGCACCTTCAATTAGTCGCAAGCCTCACCGAAGGAGCACAAATTGAGCTCTGCAGAGAATAAACAAGTGGAAACTTTGTTAGTGGTTGGAACTTGAACCCATACAACGACAAATAATAAGCATATTCAATGCTTAATGCCACTATGCTCAACCCATGACAACTTAAGAACATATCTCTTCTGGCAGTTCTGGATGTTCTTGCTCATTAAGGTCCAAAATGGGCAGATAATTCAAAAAGAAAATAGCAAAATAAAATTCTAAGTATATCACGAAACTGAATTTCAGCTAAATAGGTCTACTCGTTTTACCAGATGAAAGGGATGGCACTGGGAAGTATGCATGGAAAAAGAGTGGATCCACAGAGATTATTTGAATTATCTATAACTTCATAATGTAAACTTTGTTCTTTTTATTTTGATAATTCACAAAATTTACCTTAAATATCTTAAATTAGATAGTAAAGAGCCCTAATTCATAGAAGGATACCTGCAGTACTCATTATGATATGCTCGCACTTAGGAATCCAACCGGCCTTTCTCTCCCAAATGCTTCGTCGTCAAAATCTTCATTAGTGGAGTTTTCTTGACATATCAATTTGGGCTCTTCCATAGGATTAGAAGGCTTCATAATCTGTGGACCTGGACACATCTCATCATGATCAGATTCATGATTGTTATCTATGTCATGCTCCAGATTTTGCCTCACATCACCATAAATTTGATCCATTCCTTTAACATCATCAATACATGGGGGTTCTGTGTTGAGATCAGAACAGATGTCATAGCCACTTTGTTCTCCAGATGCATGGTAAGCTACTGTCACAAGTCCACGATCAGATGATTGCTCAATGACATCTTTTTTAGGCCTCTTCCATTTCTTAGTAGATGAAGTACCATCGTCTTCAAAATCTTCTTCTTCACGTTCTCTATGCAAATAAACCCACAGTTTTCTTTCACCATCGAATTGCACACAAGGATCACGTTCATAATGTAATCTGTCCAATGCACCACTTACAACTTGATTAACTTGTGCATCAGATACATCTTCCACAACATATTGTGAATCTCTTATCAACGTACACACATCTGCTCTGGTGCCAATACTTCCTGGTAAACGTGCAGCAGCATCTCTCACAAGACAGAGAATTGTGACATGTGGAGGGCGATCCTTCTTTAGCATGAAATGATCTCGTGCCTTCGAAGTAGGCTTGCCCCCACACCTTCTCAAGGGAGCAACAATTGATTTTTTACCATCAGCTGCTGTGTAAGAGAAAGCACGATCGGGAATTGAGTACCTAAGTATTTCTTCCTGACGAAAATAGTCCCTCACCTCTTCGGTACTGGAGCTAATAGTATTAAGACTCTTCTGAGCCCTCAAGTCCCTAAACCTTTCTTTCTCGTCAACATTGAAATTAATTAATGAGGCAGGAGGTGCAGGAAGACTTCCTATTAGTTGAAGTGTTTCTTGGCCACTTTTAAGCCAATTGGCAAATGAGTCGACCAACTTAACAAGCATCTTATGGGGAAGACCCCAAGCTTCAGGTGACGTGGCCTCTTCAATGGCCTCATAATCTGTTGAACTTTGAGAAACTGGGCCAATCCAGGACCATGTTTTTGTTGCTTTTTCATAAACTGCTAGCATCTTCCAGCCCTTTGCTCCTAAAGGTGCTGTTTTTGATGAAAATATCTTCAGAACCCCTCTCACCAAATCGAGGAGTGGTTCTTGAGTCTCAAGAATGCTAGGATCCCCAGGGTTGGATTTCACACGATCTACAATATCTTGAACTGTTAGCGAAGGAACATTTACTTCCTCAGCCTGTTCTAAGTTATTCACATCTGCCTTATTATCATGAGAAAGGTCTACCGTGATGTCGCCCTCGTGCCTTTTCTTCTTCTCCTTTATGGGCTCTAACATATCTTCTGGAAGTGGAGTAATCATGGCCAGGCGAACTGCAGAGAGAAGATGCATGATCGAGAATGAAAACCCAGTGTGAACTGTAGGCGTAATCAATGGGAACGAAATTCTCTGAGGCTTGGTTTCCTGCTCCATATCCACTGTCTCCATTTCCATAGCAGGAGGTTCAGTTGTTCCCACATCAGAACTATAACTGTCAGGCTTCTGCCTCTTCTTTGTCTTTCTCTTCGATGAAGTGGAATCTTTTTGTTGCAGTGTGTCACT